TTTAAAAAAAAAAACCGAAAGAATTGTCGGTAGAACATTCTAAATTGAATGAAGTATTTGACGATGTAAAAGACGAATTAATTTCCGTTACAACAGTTAATTATGATCCTATTTTGGCGCCACCGTTTCAACTCTCTTATTCTTTGGGCCCCTCGTACTTTTTGTTTTTAATCAAATCACTACCCATATCGCCTTTACCCCCTAAATTCATACCGTTACTTTTCGATTTATTAAAAGCAAGGACTTTTTGAGAATTTCTTAAGGATATGAAGGTTAGATTTTTTTTTTTTTAAATAAACATGATATTTACTATAACTGAAATAAGGAATCACGATCCCATAAAACTGCTTAAGATTGAAGTTATCCTCCCTTTCAATTAAAAAAAATAAAAAATAAAAATAATTTGATAAATGTAATCCTTTTTTTTTTTCTTTTAAATTTACAATCCTATTTATCAAAGTCAAAAAAGGTATTATCCATCCATGAATTATATCTATTTTGGCAACACATCAGCTTATCAAGTTTATCAAATTTAGACTTTTTTTTTAATGAAAAGAATTAAATTTATTAAATACGAATATTAATTTTATTTAGTTTGAAATAATAGGTTTTATAGGTTAAATTATGCACATTAAAATTAATTTTTTTTTCTTGTATGACATAATGTAATAATACGTAGAAGCACTAGTTCATGGACCAAAATCAAATCACCCAAACCAAAAAAAAAAAAAAAAAATCATTTTTTTAATACATGAAGAAAGAATTGATTTTGATTGCATGCATGGGATGGATTGATGGTCATATGACTCATATATGAATTATGGTGATGAAAGCATTGTAGGGGTTTTAAATTGCCAATTCTCCCAATCTTGTTGGCGTGTTTCGTTTGTTTGATGACAAATTTGCCATTTGCCAAACTGCCATCTCTCTTTCTCTCTCTTTCTCTCTCTTTCACTCCCCCTTTTGAAACCTCTCCTTCTTCAGCACGCCGCCTCCACCTACAACACTTTCACTCTCTTTGCATTCTCACTAAATTACCCAAAAAACCCATCTTTCCCTTCAAAAAACCCATCTTTCCTTTCAAAAATACTCTCTTTTCTGTATATCTCTGTCCTCTACACCCATGGTTTATCTGTTTCTCTAATGCCACCTCTTCTTCTGTAATTGGTTCGTCCCTTTTCTCATTTTGATTGCCTCATGCTCTCTCCCACATTGGTCTGTAATCGTTTAACTGAATTGGGATTTTTTGTTTTGGGGAATTTTGTTGGTTATTCATGTCAAGATTGGTTCTTTATATTGAATTTTGGTTTTTGATGATTAAGATTTTGATGGGTTTGCGCTTTCTTCCCATTAAATGGTTGAATTCTGGTTTGTTTTTGTTGGGATTGTCTGTAAAGATCGGATTTTTATTTGTCCGTGTATGGGACGTGAAAATGGAGGACAGAGGTGTTTAAATCGGTCTGATCATTCTGATGATCATGATTCTGTTCTATAAGAGTCTAATGAGGTTTTGCTTTTGAGAGACATTTATTCTTTTTCTGATGTGGATTCTGTTGGCTGATATTCGATGATGTTCCCGTTTATTTTATTGTTCTTTGTCTTGCTTGGTGAAGAGAATTGCTGTATTAGTTAATAGTGAACTGGATGAGCTTTGTCAATGAAATTTAGACCTTGGTTGTAATGGTGGATGTGTTTAAGTAAAAGGGCTTTATTGAATTTTTAGAAATTTTTAACTTTTCTATTGGAGATCTTCAATGATCGGATTCCGACTGATTCATATGAGTAATTATAGAATACTTGAATTGCTATGAAGCTAATGAAGATTTTTCTGGTACCCTCTGATGAGTTTAAGCAAATTAATTTCACAGCATGTGTATGATCGTTTGAGTCATATGTTCTGTTTTTAAATGGTATTTAACTCAATGGTTCTTCCTTAGATGTATATTGCTTAGCAGAGATTGCATTTGTTTGGTATAGAAATCTTGAACACTTCTCATTTGCAAAAATGGAGGAAGGGAGAATGGAGTTAGAGTGTGATGAACTTGAGAGGCTTCTTGGGGAGATACCAAAAGCTACTGTGGGGAATTCACATTCTGAGGAATCTGTGCCCAAAAGAATGTCTATGAATATTGGTAGGTTGCCCATCCGTGTAAACTCCTTCAAAGGGCCTTCAACTGAAAGTCTCCACAAAAATGGTTGTTTGGATGACGGTAAACTATCAATGAAAGAAACACAGAGGTCACCCATTAAGAGGGTTCTGTTAGTGGAAGAAAATCTCCCAGATGATCAATCATTGACTACTGCATTTGCAGAATTGAGCTTCAGTGATGGGGTAACAGGGGCAACTGAAAGTCCTCTTTTGGAAAATGGCAAGTCCTCTTCAAATGACATTATGTTAAACTGCCAATATCCACACAGCTTCAGGAGACAAAGTTCCAACATGGATTCAACAGTGATGATGGTGGCTCCCTCTTTCCAATCACGAAATAATACACCTCATGGTTCAGAGGAGTTTGATGCAACAAAAGTTGGCCTAAAAAGTCAAGAAGGCAACAAGATGATGCAAAGTGGCTATTGTCAGCCAGTTGAGAATTTCTCTGCTGGTCTACCGCTGTCTCATGGGGTGGAAGGTCTGCAATTCCTGTCTAACACCCTGGCAGCTGCAGAGTTTCCTGTAGTGTCTGATCAGCAGCCTTACTATGCAGATGCACGATCTCCATTTACTTTTTTACATTCACAGCAGTTAAGCCAACCTCACAGCAGTTGGAGAAATATTGATGAGGAACAATATTACAGGATTCATCAGCAATATTTGTATCTGCAGCAGCTTCACAACCAGCGATTAGAAGTTCAGCATCCTATTCAAGCAAATGGAAACTTTCCAGCTAGGCAAGTGATTCGAAGCTTGAGACAACCATCCATTGAGACACCAATCTCTCACCAACTTGAACAGTCCAATCAAGAAACTTATTCACTTAACTATGCAATCCCTGGGGCTTTCAATCATTCCAATCCCACCTTTTCATCCTCAGATATGCATGCTCCACATTTTCTGGACAAAGTGGGGAAGCAAAGTTTTCCTGAGAAGATTCTCACAAGATCACAGGGCCTGAACACAGTGAAAGCTGTAAAATTTGGTTCTTTTGTTGGAAGTGAACCCCTTTCTCATGTCAACCAGAATGGGAAAGTTCTTCCAAATGGTCATTTCCATCATAGCTTCTATTCCCCATCTGCTCAATGCTTTCAGACTGATAGTTTGAACTTATGGGGTTTGTCCACTGATAGCTCAGATCTGAAAAACAGCAATCTGAGGCCACAGCTTCAAAAGTATAGCTCTGTGAATGAAATCAGTGGCAAAATTTATCTGATGGCAAAGGACCAGCATGGCTGCCGCTTCTTGCAAAGAAAATTTTCAGAGGGCACTGCAGAAGATGTCAGAAAGATTTTTCTCGAGATCGTTGATCACATTGTAGAGCTTATGACAGACCCTTTTGGGAATTACCTTGTTCAAAAGCTACTTGAAGTGTGTGATGAGGACCAGAGAATGCAAATACTTCTTGCAATTACTAGAAAACCTGGAGATCTTGTTAGGATATCATGTGACATGCATGGGTTTGATTTCTTTCTCTCTCTACCTACCTACCTACCTACATGTGTCTTTGTCTGTTGATGGTTTGTTTTCCCACTATTCATGCTTGCCATTTTTTGAAATTGAAACGTTTGTGTTTCCAATACAGAACTCGGGCAGTTCAGAAGGTTATTGAAACCCTAAAGACTCCACAGCAATATTCCATGGTTGTATCCGCACTCAAGCCTGGTATAGTGACTTTGATCAAGAATATGAATGGTAATCATGTAGCCCAGCGCTGCCTTCAGTATTTAATGCCAAACTACAGTGAGGTATGCAATACACATCTGTGCATTTTGTTTCTTTGTAGTTTAGCATGACAACTTGGTAGTTGTTACTAGGTGTGGATGTGAGCTCATTTCAAAGCTCTCATCCATTGAATTTTATTAAGATATATCTCTAAACTTCAGCGTGGAACTGTTCAACTTTTCTACTCATTAGTGGTCCTAAGGTGTTCCCTAGCCTTTGTACTTGTGTGCAGGCTGGGGTAGAGCATTCGGGTAGTTGCCGTTGGATAGTCATATGCAAATTTCTGTTAATTTCATTTTTTTTCTCCTTTGTCCTTTTAACTTGTTTTCATTAAGTCATTACTTTAGAAAGTCATAGAAATCAATAGAACACTGTTAAGCATTACAGTGGATTTGGTATAGGACTTACATAGATTATGACCTTAAAACCAAAAATAGAAGAAAGGCTAACTGCTCTTTGTTACATGTTAAGTTTTATATATACACTCATGGGGTGATTTCCTTTGCCTTTCTGGTAGTTAATCTTGATCCTAACAAACATGAACTTGAATTCATCTGCTTGTTCACCATGATTTCTATTTGTTTCTTTTCTTTGTCTTGAATTTCATGTGGGGCCAACTTATTAGGAAAATTGTAGCTTGTTTGCTGCTGTTTATGTTATTTTCTAGTACTCACGCTTTCACTAAACTAAAATAGAAAAGAACTGTATTCTATTCATATCTGTCTTGTATCAAAGGAAAACAATAAACTTAAGCTGCAACAATATGGAACTTGTCAGCACACTTTCTATAGTTTTCCTATACAACTTAAATAAGCAATTACCACCTTAAAGAGACTATTTATTTTGAACCATGTTCTGTTCTCAGTTATTTTTCCAAATGGTCAGACCAGCTCTTCATTCTTGTGCAGAAAATTTTGCATCAGTTGTGGGTAGTGTAGCATTATCTATCGTAAATCTGTCTCAATTTGGATCTTTTTATCCCACTCATCAGTCAGAGATTATCCTCTTTATCAATTGAACTGGTGCACTGTATCCCTCCCAAACCCTCACCCGACAATAGAAAATACATGCAGTGTAGTGATTTCCTATTTGGCATCCATTTATGCCTTAAAATGCTATGAAAATAAAAGGGAATAACATTTTTCTTTTCTACAATTCATTTTGCATTGATATCTTTGTTTTTTGTTGCATAAAATGAAACCTGGTAATGCTGGTAATGCTTTATCCTGCAGTTCCTTTTTGAAGCTGCAACTGCTAACTGTGTTGAGCTTGCAACTGACCGCCATGGCTGTTGTGTGCTTCAAAAATGCCTCAGCTATTCGGATGGAGATCAAAGAAACTGCCTGGTCTTTCAGATCACTTCAAATGCACTAATCCTTTCCCAAGATCCTTTTGGGTATCTGTTCTCCATCTCTTTTGGTCTTTCCAATTGTTTCATTGCCCTGCCTTGTCTGAATTAACTATTATTGTATGTTGGATTTACTGCATCACTGTACTCATCAACTCACTTTCTGGAATATGCTTTAAGAAACACTAAAATTTTATGGAAAACAATTTGCATAGACAACCCCAAGCAAACAGTATTGCTGTATGTATTGGTTGATGTCAGTTTCCTACTTTTTTTAAATTGTCCCTTACGCATGGGCTTGACTCATGATATTATTGTTTGCTGAAATTTCATTGGTCCAGAAAATTGGTTGCGACATAAAAATCAAGACTTGATATCATACTTTGTGTAGTATACTGAACTTAAAACCTAAGACTTTAATTATGCAGGAACTATGTTGTGCAATATGTCTTTGAGCTACAACTTACATGGGCAACAATGGATATTCTTGACCAATTGGAAGGAAACTATGGGGACTTATCCATGCAAAAGTATAGCAGTAATGTTATTGAGAAATGCCTGAAGTATGCAGGTGAAGATCGTCGGGCTCGTATTATCTGTGAGCTTATAAACAATTCCCGCCTAGACCAAGTCATGCAAGATCCTTATGGCAACTATGTTATCCAAGCAGCATTGCAGCAATCAAAGGTTAGTGATTTCATTCTCCTTTAGGCATCAAGTGTTTTCATTGTTCAATCACTGAAATTTGAGGCCTCCAGCATTTCAATGACTTGCTCATATTAGCATAAATCCTCAAGTAATTACTAAAATATAACTGGATCCCATACCATTTGTTGGGCAGGGAGCTGTTCATGCTGCATTAGTTGATGCCATAAGACCTCATATTCCTATTCTCCGAACCAGTCCATATGGGAAGAAAGTCCTCTCAAGTAATAGTTTGAAGAAATGATCTGCTGGTATGATATACAATTTTCATTACATTTCTCATTCTGTTTACCCTTTTTAGGCTTAACCATTTATGGTTGGGTTCTGACTTTAGGTATAGTTCGAGAGGATCCTGTAAATTTTGCAGCTAAAGGGAAATGCTTTGAAATTGGCTTATAGATGTGGTTTTCGGTTCTAAGTCTTAAACCTGAAAAGGACAAAGAAGATGCATTCAAAGCTCATAAGATGTAAATTTTAGGCCTTTCCTCTTCCTTTTTGCAGAAAATTAGTTCAAGCTTCATCTTCAACTTGGAACTAGTTTTGCCTGCACGGTATTATATATATGTAAATTTGCAATTTGTTAATTTGCACAGGAATAAGATGTTGTGAAGATAGAGTTCCTTGAGCTTGCCTATAAATTGTAACATGTTCTTTTGACTTAAAGTTCAAGGCATGATAAGCGGCTGCAGATTAGAAATCTACCTTGTTTATAGGCTAGACATTCTGTTTTTGTTATGTTCATTCCATGTTATGTTTATGATTTTATTTGGCATTTGAAAAATGATTTTTAGTAAGATCTCTAAAAAATTAAGAGAAAAAAAACTCCAAAACTATATTGTTTTAATAGACTTTAAAAACTAAAATAACTTATTTTTAAAGTAAAAATAAGACTATTTAGGTAGTATATTTTCATGGAGATTTATTGAAATGATATAGTTTTAGAGTGTTTTGTCTCATTAGAGATCCACTAATTTAATTGGGTGTTTCCACCTAAAAGTATGATATTTTTCATTGATGTCTGAGAGGGATAAAGTAGAGAACCTGAAGAAGGATATAACTATTCTTGCTGAGTTTCTATATATCTTGCAAAGAAGATTATACATGACAGGAAAACAAAACTAAAAGAGAAACTCCTACCGTATCACAGATTAACCTCAACCTTGAGCTGTGTAGAAGAAAAAAATCATACAATGGTAAAGAATGATTCTTTCGAATCTTTTTGTTTCTGAAGCAAATGTCTCTGGCCTTATTTCTTGTTGAATATGCCAAATATAGATTTGACAGCATTGATGGCATTCTCATTGATAAATGATTCATCAAACCTTTTCATAAGACGCTCAAATTCCTCAGATGTTCTTACGTTGGCTAGGTCAGGATCTGTCCTGATTCTCTGTAAAAAATATAGCAACAATTTCAGATAACAATAGGAAGAAGAAAAAACATAGGTGCTTTAATCTTTGATTCATTACCTTAAAGTCTTCGAATCCTGTTTGCAGGGCATCCTCCAGTGCAGAGAGACCAGCTTGTACCTGTGGAAGGTTTCGGAAATGAAAAACAGTTCTAACAGTGGCAACAACAAAAATGAAAAATATTGAGTATAATGAAATGCGAACACCAGCTTTACCTGATTAAGCTTTGAGTAACAGCAAGCAACATTGTAACTTGCTACTGAAGCTTCTTCAGGATCAGGTCTTGATCCCAACACTGACTCGAATTTCTCTAGTGCTTCCTCATATTTGGCACCCCTTTGTCAATGAAACAAAGAGGAAAAAATCAGTTGGATGGAATATTGCGTGAGTAGAGCAAGATGAGTCAAGCTTCAACACTAACTTGTATAGTTGCAACCCCTCACGAAGATCCTTAATTCTGCGTTCCTTTTGTTCCTTTTTCCTTGTGTAGTTTCGCAACTGAAATCAAATGAGTTCTGTCATGTGATTCAGTCTCATACTAATCATGAATTTCCTCAAGTGAAAGAGGTTATACTCACTTGGATTTCCCTCACGCTGGCACTGATTACGCCTGAGTTTCTCTCAGCTCTAATGATCTCCTTCTCTGTCAATTCACCTGAATCGTCCACTTTCCCTAGAAAAAGTGAAAAAAGCTTCAAATTTCTTTTATCATGAAGGTTGCCAAAGAGAAGGAAAACAGAGGTAAAAATGGAAAAGGCAAGAGCAAGGGGTGAACAGTGAACTAACCATATCTCTTCTCCATTTTCATGAGCAATGGACCGATTCTTTGGCGAATGGTATACATTGTCCTCCCATATTCGGCAGCAGGCCATATTTCTGTCCCAAACACTGCACTGCATAGAATTTAAGGGTTCATATGTCACCTTCTACCATGAATGCATCATTCAAACAAGGATTCAAAGATGAACAAAATGAACTGAATCATTGGTAATTTGGGGGAAAATAGAAGAAAACCTGGTAGCGAGTACTTTGTCTCCAACAGTGAACAATCCAGTTTTATCAGCTGATCCACCAGGGGCAATGGCATCAATGTAAGTTCTACCATCTCTGCCTTTTCTAAATTTCAGCCCATAAGGCTGCACTATCTCCACCTCATACTCTTCATACTGTTCTTCTCCTTCCCCTCCTCCTTCACTTCCAGTCTCCGGTTTCGACGTCTGAGACTCTGTTTCCGATGCTTTAACAATCAAAGCCGACTGCTTCAGCAACTGGGTGTTACAGAAACTCAATGAACTGCTAGAAATTGAAGAGCTTTTGGATGGAAAACGCTTTGTTGGAGAAAAGAAAAGGTGGGTTTTCTCGGTTGACATTGGCGGTGAAGAATACAGAGATGGGTAGCGACCTGGAGCCAAAGACATGGTTGCTTTAATATGAAACCTATTTGATATTTGTCCTCAGAGAAGGTTTGAGGGATGAAGGATGCAAGAAAGAGTGGCCATTCGTAAGAGTTTGTGAGGAAGAAGAGTGACTGGCTCTAGAACCAGATTTGGATTACAGTGCTAGTGACTAGTGGCTATAACGAGATCTGAAGTTTCCACTTCAAGAAAATGAAGCCACGTGGCACTATTGTCCTTTCTTGATTGGAGAATATACCGGCTTCTAAGTTCTTTTCAGAAAGTCTGCGGACGAAATTTTCCAACCATTCCCTTCCCCATTTACCTCAGCAATAACATACTGTGATTTGCATTTTGTGTTGCATACCTGTGAAAGTTATGGTCTTAGATATATTTGCAAGAGAAATATTAGTAACAACTGTTAATTTGTTGCATGGTAGAATATCGGATCAGAGTGGGATGGAACCAAAAAGGGTCATTTGTTGAAACAAGAACAAACGTATATTTTTTTTGTTGGAAATTCTATGTGTACTTAACAATTTAGTTTTCTTAAAATTGAGTTAAATAAAAAATTAGTAAAGTCAATAAAGTTATATGATCTAAATGGATTTAGGTTTTATTTCGGTTTTATATGGTGTGATATGAATAGCTGTAGAGTCCGAAATTAAATGATGAGTTATTTGATGGAGTGTCTAAAATATTATTATAATAAAGTTAGATTTCTTTTCCCATTCAAAAAATTATATCTCTATAAATAATTGAAAGCGACATGACTCATTCATTGTTATTATACAAAAGCTGAATATAAAAGAGAAAATTTAGTCTTTAACTATTTCATTTCTCTGCAAGGTTATAAATCAATGGCTTTTAAGAATGATACATGATTTTATTATTTAATTATTTAAATTTACGATGTTTAGCATCTAATTTGTATTAAATTATATTAATAAATTCTAACATATGATATAAGAACCATCACATATTAGATCTAAAATCCATGAAATATATTAGAAGTATCCACATATAATTTTTTATTCTATTGTAACTTTGTGAAAATTATGATTAATAATTTTTTATCTAAAGTATAATTTATTTTGGTTATAATTGATTTGATCGCATATCTACTTTATTTTATTGTGATTGAAATCATGATCCCCTGGTTTTTTAATAATATGCTCAATGTTGACGACATGGTTGGTGATTCTCTTTTGGACTCATTGTTCATGATTCTTATTATATTCGAGAAAAGACAAAATAAGGGAAAAAGGTCGCAGATAGAAGTTGAGGGAGAAAAGCTGCAATTTTACCTTTTAAGAAATTGTATAATAGCCCAAAAATCCAACACGGGCTTATTTTAAAAATAGGTCAGGGTGTCGACACTTAGTTAGTTGTCAGCAATCCTGTAAGTCCGACACAAGCTTAAATTTTAATTGTATGAGAGTGTCGACATCCGGTTTAGGAGTTGAAACTTGGGCAAATTTTTAGTGGATTATTTTCACTTAGACAACATATAATTAAACTTTTAACGTATAATAATTCTATGGGCATGAAAAGGTTGTCTCAGTTAGATGATTTACAAATTGATATGAATGACACTACCAAAGTAGGTCATTTATAGATTATATATGTGAATTATTTAATAAGGATTTTGAGATGGTTGTTTTTTGAATTAGTACAAACCATTACTTCCTTAAAAGGGGTATATTGTGGGTATTAGTTTGGAAATGTGTGTGGTTAGTGAGTGTTATAATTTAACTTTATAGAGACGTGTTTGCCCAAAAGGGATATTATCTATGAAGTTAGCCTTACTAATTTACCTGTTAAGAAGTTTAGGTGTGTTCTATATAGTCTGTTCAAAAGGGAATATATGGTGATGCATTTAAATTTCTAAAGGATTTATTATTGAATATTATTATTATTGCCCATGTAATCTAATTAAATGCTAAATTTTTGTAACACAGTTAGTCAAATTGCAGTAAATAATCAGATTTGCACCATAAAGACCCTAAATGGAAATAACTACATTGCCTGGAAGAATGACATAGAGCTAGCATTAGGTCTAGCTGATCTTAACATGGCCTTGTTTGAGGATGAGCCTGCTAAACTCAAGGTTGACAGTTCAGCTGAGCAAAAGGCTCATTATCAGAAGTGGGAAAGGGCTAATAGGCTGAGTATAATGGTCATGAAGAAATCTATTTGTTCAGCCTTCAAAGTGAGTGTTCCAAATGAGACAAATGCAAAAAAATTCCTTGATGCTATTGGGCAGCGATTCCAAGAGTCTGAAAAAGCTGAGACTAGGGAGCTGATGCAGAAGTTATGTAATATGCAGTATGATGGTGTGTCTGGGATTAGGGCTCATATTTTGAAAATGCAGGACATTGTTGATCGCCTCAATAGTCTCAAAGTGACCATAACTGAACCTTTCCTAGTTCACCAAGCCTTAAATTCCCTTTCAATATCTTTTGGCCAAATTGGAACCCTATACAATGCTCAAAAGGAAACCTGGCATGTGAACCAACTTATTTCTATTTGTGTTCAAGAAGAAGAAAACCAAAAGAAACAGAAGGCAGAGAGTGTGAATCTTGTGTATCAACCACATTTAGGTAAAGATAGTCATAGCAAAGGATATTTTCACCACCACAAGAGGTCTGGGTTCAATAATAGAGTCAAGGGTAGGAAGTTTGAAAAGAAACCTGGTTATAGACCCACTGTAGTAAGACCTAAAGCAGATATCAGGAAAAATGAAGTCTATTGGTTTTGTCATGAGGAAGGTCACAAGAAAAGGGATTGTGCGCAATATAGGGCTTGGTTAGAAAAGAAAAACAAAGAAGGTAATTTACAAACCTTTGCTTGTCTTGAAACTTCTTTGATAGACGTTCCTCCTAACTCTTGGTGGTTAGATAGTGGGAGTCTTATTCATATTTCTAATTCCTTGCAGGGGTTTGTAAATAAAAGGAAAATAAATGAGGGAGAAGTCAATCTGCATGTAGGAAACGGAGTCAAAGTCGAAGTAGAGTTCATTCTAATAACCCATAATTTGTAATTCTCTCCGTTGAACATTGGAGGAGAAGAAAATGAATTTGTTGAAAAAAAAAAAGACATTTTGAAATGTTGTAGAAAAACAAGAATCTCTCCCTTGTCACTCATGTTTCACTCTCTAATACCTGTCTAAAGTTTCTCATAGATCCCTCAAAAACTGTAAGCTGTAATACTAATTTGAAGATGTAAAGATGAAAACTTAATTGAAAATGAACATGAAATGAACATAAACTCAGGGATTTAACTTGAGAAATGAAATATATAAACTATGTTATGAGAGATTAGAAAATCACAACATCAAAGATACATACTGGAGTCTCAACTTCAAGAAAAGCAAGAGATTCCACAGTCTTGTGTATCCTTGAAATAATCTATCAAAAGCAAGTTCACATTAGAATAAAAGATTTTACTTCAAAAAAACTATGCAACTCCACTTATCAGAATAAAAATGAATAAGCAAACAGAAAGGAAACCTATATAAGAATACTTAAAGAAGATTTAACAGATGGAGAACAGGGAAAGACAACTAACCTTTGCTCTTTTCCAGAGTACATCAGTTACCTCAGGATTTGCAATCATATCAAGAACCTAAGGATAGAAAAATGAAAGGATAAGAAGAGTGAAAAAGTGTCCATGACATACTAAGAAACTACCAAACATAAAAAACTTAATAACTTTCCTTTTGTTATTTGATGGAGACTAAAAGTGATTTACTTGACTATCCTGTGGTGCTCGAAACAAGTAAGAAATATGAATATCTTATTGAAGATAAAATTAAAAAATGCCAAAAAAGAATAACAGATAGTCTTTGATAATCTCAACATTGCAGGGTTCCATATTAAATGCAAGAAAAAGCTTCTCCAGTACTTGTCATCACCTAAAATTTTATGTTCATGCAAGGAATATTTTTCAATAAGATATTTGATTAAATTCAAAATAGAAGATATTGAACAATTTTAATCTTTTGTCAAGTATCACCGATACCATAGGCCACCACCAAAGCAATCATTCTGCCACAGCATTATCTTACACCTTATAATTATAATTCAATTTAGCAATAGAAGTGTCTAACTATTGGAAGAAAAATGATACAAATGGAAGTGCACCTTTGGCCATAGTGCTTATCCACATTGGTTAGACCATAATATTTGTCCAGTAGAGGTAGTAAAGATTTTATAAGCATTGCAAAAGAATCCACAACAACTGAAAGCTCCCTTGAACAAGGAATCAAGAGGGATTTGAAGTTTAACCAATGATAATATACAAGCACAAAAGGAATGATCAAGTGAAGAACTTTCATGACAACATTTGGGTTGGAAAAAGAAAGCAATAGAGGATCCATGGTAGAGCAAACATCTTGAGCCAAAGCCAATACCTTTCTCTGTCCACTTCATTGAACCACAAGCACCCACTATATCACCAATATCAACAAGTGACTTTAAATACTCAAACTTATCATTCAAAAGCCTTTCCTTCTCACAATAAAGCTACAAACATTAAAATAAGAAGAAGAAGAAGAAGAGAAGGAAGAGAAGGAGCAGCAATTTCAGCTTCTACATTTGTTTTAACCCTACACATAACTGCAGGAGTAACTTAGATGCATAGTCCTTAAGGGGTCAAGAGCAACCAACAATAACCAAGAATGCAATTAAAAAAAAAAAAAAGGAAGAAGAAAGAAGCAAACCTGAATTGATCCAGAATCATCTCTTAATGTCAGAAAGGCAAACTTTCCAAATGCTCTGCGAGCTACAATTTGCCCTGCAATGGAAACATGATGATGCAGGAGCATAGAGTTGTTTTTAATGATTAGTTTTAAGGCTGTTTGTTTTGCATTAAGTTTGAGTTTTATTTGAAATCTAAGTTTTAATTTTAGGCAAGTCATTTTTAATTAGGATTAGAATTAGTAGCTTATTAGAAGTTCAATGCTTTTTAGAAGTTCAAATTAGAATTGAATTAGGATTCTTAGCTATTGTTAGTATATATAGTTAATCTTCTTAGGTTTCAAGAACAGTCTTGTTATGATATTTTAGTTTGACAATAAACTTGAGGTTGTAAACCTAAGTTTTATTGGTTCCATCTTTAATTTTATGGAGTTCTTAGTTTCTGCTTGTTCTACCCTTACCTTCCCTGCATCAAATTGGTATCAGAGCTATGGTTGGTTCTGGCAAAGGAAATAAAGGCCAACAAGCAAAATTAGTTGAGATGCGACGTATGATTGAGGACTTGTCATGAGCTGTGCAAGCTTTACAGTGACAAGAACCCATGGGAGCCCATGTAGAGATGCCGGAGGGTGACAATACCCCTGCAGACACACCAGAAGGTAGTCTGGAGGATGATATTGTGGATGGAAGGGATGATAACCCTTTTCATGAAG